GTCCCAATTTATTCCATTTTCTTTTTCTTTTTTTAAGTAATAAATTTATTTTTTATTGGTGTTCAATTATAACACCCGGTGCTCATCCCGTCAAGTGCCCCCCTCAGTGTCCGTCAATTTATTCCATTTTAAATAGAATTCCAGGCAAGGCAGGATCACACCATGGGGAATGACTGCAATACCTTGCTGCCTACAGAAGAACTCCACAGCTGAGCGCTGTTGCTGTCAATACAGGTGGACAGCCTGGCTGAAGAGAAATGTGAACATAAGAAATCAATTCACAAGTAGCCCTAAGCAGACATCCAGACACATCCACCTATAGTCAATCCAGGAGCATGTCACTGGTCTGCTCATATAAATGGCCTAAGACAAAAGTAGGTTATTTTTAATTCTTTAATGAGAAAATTTTCATGCTCTATCAAAACTACTCAGAAATAATTTTCCCAGAGTAAGGGAAAAGTACTTTTCTCCTCATTCATGAATAACAGAATAATTTATTTGAATCACCTCAAGTTTTTCTGAGCCATCTCCTAGGAGTCAAGGCCTAAAGGGCAAAGATTTCTTTGTAGCAGGAGCATTATTTGTGTAGCAGGCCTTTGCCACTTGGTGGCTCGACCCTTACGCTTTCTGCAGAAGTTTTTCTTGGTGTTGTTTTTAGGCCTACCTGACTGAATCAGGACTTTGAGCCGACTGCATAGTTCCACTTCCCAGTTCCAGTTCACCCTTTCACAAGAGCAAGAATTCTAAATGTTGACACATTGACAATGCCCACTTTAAGATTTTAATGAACTCTTCCATATTTTCACTAGAGTGAAGTTTCTTCAGATATACTGGATTTCAAAAGAAACCACTCATACAGGTTATCATTTGTTGCCAGTTCCCAACAGAAAAAGGTGCGAGTTTTAAGGGAAGCACAGGCTTCCACAAATTCTGAAATGGAGCAGAGGAGTTCAGAAAAAAGGAAAGGCAGAAGGGCCAAAAGCCAGTAATTATCTAAGCAAAAATAACTGTTCAGAGGAGAGAAAGAACAAGGGTGCCCTAAACCAAAACATTGGGAAAAGCAACAGGACCGTAAACAAACTTTCTTTTTAGATCCTTGTACAGGCAACTTCAAACCAGACATGTGCTGCTTCAACTAGTCACCCCCAGCACAATTATCGCTGGTACTCTCTTGCTGGGGGTATGGCCAGCCTCTCTTGTCAAGCCTATATAGGATCCTTGGGTATATTCACTGACACACAAGCAAAGAGGAGCACTACCCAGTTATGAAGCATTCCTGTGAGCCTTCATGAGACAAAAACAAAAACACAACAAAACTTGGGAACCCTATAAAGCCTGTGTTCCAAGACAGGCCTGGCATGGACACATTCATTCTGTGGCTCACTTCAACTAAGCACATTGCAGTGCCTTGATTTCCCCACTTGTGAAACAAGGAAAATCCTGAGAACTGAGAACCTCAGGTTTATAAAATGCTTGGCAAATAAAATGGGCACGCCATTAATATTACCCTAAAGGCCAGCAAAGAGGCCTTTACACTCACAGCTCACCCTTCTTCAAGACATCAAGCAAGTCATATGACAAGTGACACATAAACAGAAACAACCCACAGCTGAGTGACTCAGTTACAAATCGATACCCTTACTGGACAGTGAATTAGGATGTGTAGGGATTTATTTTTAATTCTAAGTGATGATGGTCAAACAATGCACGAGACTCCTACAGATTACGTGCATGCTTTTTGACTTAAACCTTAACTCTTAAACTGCAGTACATGTTCAGGGCAGTCTTCCTTAGTACCTTTATTTCTAGAAATTTCATTATTTCTCTAGCTGCTATCTTAGAACTAAGCCATGCATCAATAAAAGCAAGGAAGCTTGTGAGTCTGAAATAGAAAGAATTACAGGCAGAGGACAAGTGAATGCGTACATGGAGACCAGAGAACCAAGAACTGAAATAGTAAAAAGAACTTTACATTTTACACTGATTAGGAAATGTGTGCCCTCAAATCACATCAGTTCCTGTATATAGTTGGCACACTATTAGGAAGTGTGACTTCCTAATAATAGACTCATGCATCACAACATAATCAAGTTGATATACATATATCCCAATTTGAGAAGCCTGATAATAAATGAGGATAGCCTTCTTCCAGTGAAGCAGAATATAGACTCTCATTTAAGCCGACTCATTAACTGCCAGATATCAAAGGTAGGTCACAACCAAAACACAGGTCTGAAGAGTACTAAGACATGGAAAGAGACTGAAGGAGCACAATCATCCTTCCCCTCGCTTTGTAATTAACAGGGTCAGGCAAACAGAACAAGATAAAATCATGAAGTCATGATGGAACCATGGCCACTCATACTGTGCAAAACAAGGATGCCTTCTTTTGTAAAGTATCTCAACCATTAGGGCAGAAGAAAGTGCCAATGAGTAAACAAGAAACAGTTTCTACATTCAAAGTATCAATTCAGTTAGTGTGGGTGGGGGTTTGGTTCTCACCAATTTCAAATGCCAAGTTTTCAAACTATCAACATAAAATACATAACTGACAGTGATGCACATCAGCAAAATAGGACATTTGTTCCAGACCTAATGCCACAAGCTCTTACAAAACTAAAAGTCTGCATGATGCTAGAAACACATCAAGCTCTGTGAATCTAACGATAAGCCCCTTGGAAGTCCAGGATGAACATGCAGATTATTACACAATAGTATCGGGCATGTTGGTGTAAACTACAAATTGACTTCTATTCTTATAAAAATTTCCTTTTGGGTACTTTCACCTAAATTAATCTCACTATGATTTTAATAGATTATTTTTCCAAAAATTACAATGTCTAATCCCAAAATCTTTTTCTGTAGTTAAATGTACTGTTTCCCAATTATATCTCTAATGCTCGGATTTTGTATTTGATAATACGACAGTTATTTCCAACTCTAAAAGAAACGAGTTGTATTTTGGGTATATACACACTCACACCAATTGACGAAATCAACCTGCCAAGGTCTATTACAACTTATGCAATTTTGTTATAGTTCCCAAAAGACAAAAATATTACTGAAATTGTGAATTTTTTCTTTTCTCTCTCTCTCTACTCAAGTACTGATCCCTATTTGAGCCTTTGTAACTGATCAGCTCTATCTTCTTTAATTTCCATCATTAAACATGTAGCCAGCATGTGCACATCATAAATGCAATCAACCAAAAGACTGCTGAATATTTAAAATTTCAAAATACTAAAAATTGTGTTGAGTAGACGTTTTTCAAATTCTGTGAACAGTTACAAGGAAAGCCAACAATTTAACACATAGTGCACCTTATTTAATCAAATTGGAGTAATTAAACAAACGTGTGCATATATGTTGTAACAAGAAGCAAAAATCATTTTTACTTGGTAAAAGCCTATTAGCTGGTTATCTGGTAGCAACTACATGTTCAGGAAAAGGCCTATTCTGATCAGAGAATCTTTAAGGCTTTTAAAAGTTTAGCAACTCTTGAGATTGGGTCATCAAAATAACAATAATTGAGAACTTACTTGACACTTAATCTGTTCAACATGGTGACGTTTTATTTTTAATATAAATAGTATTAGAACTTTTCCTGCACTCTGGTTTAAGGAAAAAAAAGAGAAATTTAAGCAAAACAAATTCACAGTGGGTATGTTTACAACCAATGACTTCCAGGATAGGCAGGGCCAGAGGTCTTTTAGAGATTCAAAGCCCAATCTCCTATATTTTCTAAACAGAGACTATAAAAATCAAAATCAAAGGCTTAGTTCAATGTACAGTAGCCTCTAATATGGTAACTTTAGGAAATTTCAACAAAGGCTAAGTAAAGAAGGAATTTCTACTTAAAGCTCAATTAAACAGAATACCCATTCCCACCTTCCGGTTAATTGAGGCTCCCTTCCCCCACCCTGTACTTTTAACAAACCCTCAGTTTACCTAAATTCCAGCCTTCAAGCCCAATAGCCTTACTATCTATTTTTTTTTAATTTTTAAATTAAATTTAATTTAATTTAGAATGCTCAAACCAGGAAACCTTGAAAAACTGCAGAATACATGCTTTCTAAGAGCTCATAGCAAGTTCTCCCGTAGGAGGAGAATGGCTATTACCACTAAGGATATCAGTTAACACTGCATCTTATGTGTAATTTGTCAAGTCAAATAAAAGCACCTTCACAAACCTCACCTCAAACATACCCTCAAATACGAAGTGGTTTTCAAACTACTCCTTTAAAAACTCATATAACTATCTATCAAAGACGAAGTACAGGTCAAAATTATAGCTGTTTAACAAATACTGATCAGTATTTAAAAATTATAAATATCACTATTAGATTTAATATCTGATTCTTGTGGCTACTAAAATATTGCAAAAGCAATATAGTTAAGTCTCCAATGGAATAACTGAACCAAGCTGCCTCCTTCCTTTTCACTCACCAAAACCTTACTTGGCAGCAAATGTCCCATGAAAACTCTCTTAAGCACCAACTGGTTAACTATGTATCAAAGAATACACCCATTCATAAGTTTCCCCATAAACTTATCTTGGTCTATCTATGTAACATACTTGCAACAAAGTCTTAAAAGTACCCTTGATTATCAACAACCACTGACAATCATTGGTAACAAGGACAGGTTCATGGAAGGGCCTGTTCTGATCAGAGAATCTGTAAGGTTTATAGAAACTACAGCAACTCTTGAGCCTGGGTCATCAAGATAACAATAATGAAGAACTTAACATACTTTATACACAAGAGTGCAGAATGCAAATGATTAAAACAGCATTAGCAACTTCAAAATTTTCTCTTAAACAAGCCATCAAGTCATTTCTCTGTTCAGAACCCTCCACTGCAACCAGCTCTAACCGGTTCCTTGAGGAATGTGGCTAGGCTGAAATTTTGGAAGTGTTGGCTTTGGTGGTGACCAAGGAGGAAGAAGTCTCTGGCTTCCCTGTTGCTGCAGTTCCCACCCTCCAAAATGAATATACCCACCGGTGTGAATTGACAATGTGGTCCAAAGAGCAAGGCAGGAACGGAGTCCAGATCCTCAAAATGGCAGTACAGGGCATAACCACTAGGCCACCTATCAGTTCAGTACAAAAAGTACAACCCTGTGCATCATGGTGCAAAAGCTGGGGCCTAGGTTTCGCATTGTGCATCTCACACCTATGGAAATAACAAGAGGAGTAAAATCTATAGAAATCAACACACCCTAAGAAGGTGGGTGCTCACAGAAGACCGGTGTCAACACTTTTGCAAAGGTGGTTGGTGGTTGGCTACTGAGATAATGAATGGCGGCAATTACAAGTCCAAAGTTGGAAGGCAACAAAATTTTACAATCAACTCTGTTGAGTTTGACAATGAAGAATTCAACACGGGTTTGATGTTTACCAACAAGGCTTTGCAAATCATGACACCCATCTACATGCTTATGAGAATTACTACCCCACTAACATTCTAACAACATCCTTCAAGAATGATTTTTAACTCTCAAAGAGTTGGAAAGATTTGGGCCATGAAGAAAGGAGGCAATCAGCAATACCCCCAAACCAATGCGTTACTCTCAGGTTTCACACTTTCCCCTTTACCATCTGACCTTGGAAAGACATGGTGACTCATTCAAAGCTTAAGGTGGAAGAATTCCATAATTCCAGAGAATAGAAAATCTGTGTACCAATGATGTGCCAAGAACAAATGTGGATTGTCTGAGGGTCAACAGTTTTGAAAAAGTAAAAAGAGAGAACTTTTAAAATGCAGGGTGGGTTCTTTAAAAGAAATAAAATCACCGCTCTTGACTCCCTTAATCCTTCGCCATGTTGCTGTCAGCTCACCAACTAAGAGTGCGAGAGTGTGTCTTGCTGGGTCCATTTTCCCATGGTCTGTAGAAGGCGCTGTGAAGCACATCCTGTTCTAGCTCTGGGGCCCTTCCCCCCTCTGCAGCCTTACCCAGTGCAGGGAATGCGCCCCCTACTGACTCCAACACTCATCGCCTTTAGCCGACTTGGCTGCGGTGCATTTTGGGTGGGGGCTGGTATTTTCTTCATGGCCATAAACCAGAAGCAACAATGCAGATTTATAAAGAAACTGTATCAAGCCACTCAGGAGATTTCTGTTTTTTTGTTTTTGTTTTTTTGTTTTTTTTCATTTTGAAGGTTCAAGACACTGGTACGAGAAGCATCAGGGATAGGAACTGGGTGTGTGGGGATGGACAGCATTAAAATGGCAAACACAGGAAACAGTTTGGTTCTTTTTCCCTCCTAAGCCTTTGTCTGAGAAATGGGGTTATAGCAAGAACTGCCCAGAGGAATTGGGTGAATGCAAGAACATCAAGAAGACTTAGTGTGGGTCCATGTGTGGCCAAAAAGGATATTAGACCTTAGCGCCTGGTCTTGGGCAGAAGAGGAAGAGAAGCAATCGCGCCTTTTCCAGCAGACAGGCATCCAGGTTGAGGGGGAGGGGAGGGCAGGCAGGCGGCCCAGAGGAAAGAGAGGTGAATAAAAGGGTGCTCAAAGAACTCCTCCCCATTCATTGCATTAAAAAAAAAAAAAAAATCTTTTCGCAGCTTTCTGGATTTCTTTCTTTCTTTTTTTTCTTTCTTTTTTTTTTTACCGTCTCATTGCAAAGTTGGGGCTCAGAATGTTCCTAAGAGGTCGTGCTGACCAGGCAGCTGCGCCTGGGGAAAGGGGGTGGTGGTGGACTCGGTGGCTAGGACAGGAGGGGAGCTGGCGTGCTGGGGAGGAAGGGCTGCACGGCGGAGGCAAAGACTTTCCACTCCGTGCCATGCACGCTCCCCGCCCCCCAGTGTCCCCCTCCCCCAGCCGAGGGTGGGCAGAGGTGGCAGCGGGCTCGTCCCAGGCACCGGGGGTGTGCGTGGGGGGCTCCTTTCGGGAGGAAGGGCTCCGTTCCAGGGATGGGAGCAGCTCGGCGCTCGCTGGGGGCGGGGTGGAGGGAGATGCCATCAGCGGCACAGGCTCCGGGGCCGGGCTGGCTGCCGGCCTCGGCGGGCTCGCGGGGCGGGGAGGGGGGTCGGGCTGCAGGAGGAGGCGCCTGGCCCCCGGAGCGGAGCCCGGGTAGCGGTCCGCGGCGGGGCGGGCGCTCCGTCAGCACCGGAGCGTGCAGAGGAGCGTGTGTGGCCGGAGCGCAGGCAGTCGGCACAACAATGCGCCCGCGGGCCGGCTCGGCGGGAGCGGGAGCGGGAGCGGGAGCGGGGCCGGGGCCGGGAGCGGGAGGCGGGAGGCGGGAGCGGGGCCGGGCCGGGCCGGGCCGCGGGGTGGGCGCGCGGCGGCCGCGGGCTTACCTTGACTCGGCCTCGAGGCGCGCGCGGGGCCGGCGTGCTCGGGGGCCGGGCGGCGGCGGCGGCGGCGGCGGCGGGCGGATGGCGGCGGCACGGCGGTGGCGGTGGCGGTGGCGGTGGCGGCGGCGGCGGCGGCGGCGGCGAGGGCGCGCCCGGGGCCTCGTCGCGCGCTGGCTCGGCGGGCTCCGGCTCGCGCCGCGGCCGCGGCTGCTGCCGGGGGGCGCGGCGGGCGCAGCAGAGCGGCGGGCGGCGGCGGCGGCGCGAGCGGCTCCCTCCAGTCCCCGCGCGGGCGGCGGCGGCAGCGTCGTCGAGCGGTGCAGACAAAGGAGGGGCGGAGGGAGGAGACGGAGGGTGTGGGAGAGGCGGCTTCACCGGCGCGGGCGGGCGGGCGGCGGCGGCCGCGCTCCTCTCGCTCCTCTCGCTCCTCAGCAGCGGGGACCGAGAGAGGGAGCTGTGTCTGAGGAGACGCCAAAATCCCCCTTAGCGCTGCCCGCGGGAGGGGGAGGGGGCACAAGATGGCGGCGGCCGGGGGGGGGGGGGGCGGGAGTTCAGCTCATGGATCCCGGCGGGCGGCGGAGGGGAGACCGGGCCGGCGGAGGCGGCGGCGGCAACGGGCGGGGGAGGGGGCTGATCCCGCGTCTCCCCTCAGCAGACAATACAAGCGCCTCGGAGCGAGTCCCCGAACCTGCCCTAGCCAAAATGGCGGCCGAGAAAGAGCGGAAGTGACGTAAATACCTCATTAGCATAAGAGGACTCATTGTCCAGCTAAGTAGGGGGGGCAGTGGGGGACAGCACCCCTTCCCCCCTTGTCCCCCAGGGACCACTCTCTCACTCCCACCTGGGCTTGCACCTAACTTTTTGGGAGGGAGGGGGGCACCAGCACCCCTGCCTAAGGGAAATTATATAATCCCCACTGAGGGGGAGCTCTCGCGAGAACCAAGAGGATTTGCCATTGACCCACTAGGAGGCGCCGCGGATAATGGCCGCAGTGCGCTTCCAAGGCCCGTGTGCACGGCGGGCGCCTTCCTCTGGCCGCAGCGCCGGCGGCGGAGGCACCAGCGGCGGGCCGCAGCACGCCCTGCACTCAGTCAGGTGGCCGTGCCGGGGATCCCTGCGCGGGCCCAGCTGGGCCTGGACTACATCTGGCGGGAGGGGGCGTGTGGGCAGCCCGGCGGCTCCACGTGCTGGGAGGCCTGCGCTCTCACGGGCCGGGCCGGGCCTGGCCGGGCCGCAGCGGGAAGGGCAGGGGCACCTGGCCGCTCGAGCGCGATGCCTCCTGCCTTAAAAGAGGTGTGAGGGCCTCGTGCTTCACACACCGACTGGGGATGGGACACGAGCCCACGGAGCCCCGGTTCCTTCCCGGCGGGTGGGTCACCCGGTGGACAGGGGCTGACTGTCTTCCAAGTCAAAGATGGGCTCTTCTCTTTGGCCTGAAGAAAACAAATGGGAGCCTAGCGTTTGGGGGCCTCTGGACCGGTGAAGCCTGAAGAGGAGAAAGGGTGCTGCTGATGGGCCTCCAGAAGATGCTCAAAAACTACACTTCAACTGTGGTCCCAAGGACAGTCATTCTAGCCTTACCACAATGTGGATGTCACAAGGCAGCACATGGACAGCTCGTGTAAATTTAGGTCAATCCCAACCAACACGTTGTCTCAACACCTTTGAACCCACCTTTTGGAGTAGACTGTATCTAAGAGTATGTCATTGGCTAAACATACTGAAGAGTAAGGAACACCATCATGAAGCATTAACCAAGCCTGTTTTCCTAAGGTGTGCTCTGTAAATACACTGATCTTTGGCCGTTTCTCTAAATTTCAAGTTAAAACAGTTTCAAACAGTACTTAACATCTCAAAGATTCTGACTAAACTGAAAATAGTACAGATTGTGGTTACATATAGCTCAATGTCTAAGACTTCACTTAGCAGGTTTAAACAAGCCATTTGAACCAATACAGAATTCCATTAGTTCCTGAAATTGTGATAAGATAAATCTTTAAAAGCCAAATCAGTATTTCAAAGGAAAACAAGAGCTGGGAAAGTTAAAAAAAAAAAAAAAAAAAAAAAAGGTGTGTGTGTGTGTGTGTGTGTGTGTGTGTGAGAGAGAGGGTGGCACAAGCATTTGATTTAGAGAAACAAAGATGAAGAATCTAATTACATGTTACAGAAGACAGGCAAAATCTACTATGAAATCAGCAAAACCATTTATCTCAAGTTTAGTTTTCCTTAGGTATAGAGTTCATACAGTGAACTGTAATACAAAGGGAAAACATCTGGATTTTATCCTTGGACTAATTTACAAAGTAAAAAGAGATGCTAGCTAGGTTCACATATAAATGTTTGAGATTTTAGTGTTTAAATCATCAGATATCTTACAGAAATTCATCTAAATAGTCCAGATTCTTTTCTAAATAACTTCTACATGATAAAAGTCTTCACTGCTTAAATACTTTCTTTACTATAAATTCTAGTAGTGACAGTGTTGTGACTATGGGAGTAAGATTAAAAGATTAAAAAGGCATAAGATAGCTATCTACTCTAGTGAGGTCTGAGAAGGCAATAATTTATAATGAGTTCTCTGAGGTAGTTAATCTCTGCTCCATATACTTGACAATAAAATCTTTGGGTTTAGATGAAAAAGAGGAGAATCTAAACACTCAACAGAAAAGAGTATTGTATTTCTGTTACATTAGGTTAATTCTACATTAAACAGTGATGAATTTTCTAGTTATTAATGATGAGAGATGTCACTTCCCCAAGGAAGGTGGGTCCCTGGTGTGGATAGCTAAACAGCTCTGTGTAAAAAGGGACACAGAATAGTAGAGGCCCTTTTGGAATGTGTCCCATGGATTCAACTATGGGAGTAGGTAATGTTCAAAATGACACCAAAGGTTTTATAGTCTGATATTAATTTCTGATTACGATATGTTAGAAATGCAATTGAAAAATCAGATTTTAAATTTCTTTAAATTTCAGTCAAATTAAGCCAGGAAAATGTAATTAGGAATACTGTTCAATAAATATGCTTATTAAATAACTTAGAGATGTCTCTTCCTTGCAAAGGAAAGTCAAATTGCTCTTAAGCTTATTTGCTCAAAGTATGCCTTCCCACAAATTTAAAAGATACCATGTGTTCCATAAGCTATGCTACAGTTAAAATTTTTTTTTGAAACATTTAGCTTAGAGAAGGTAGATAAACAGAACATGTGTGTTGGCTTTAATGAACAACTTAACAGTGCACTCACTGGTGGAACACTTAAAGCTTAGTAAGATGTTTAAAAATACTATAGCAGCTAAGTATTGAAGTCATCAAGACTACTGATGCCTCAATGTCATCAATATTTTTTCCTACTGATAGAAGGCACTGCTGAAGATAGAAAAAAAAAGTAGCTATGCAATCAACGGATGTCAAGTTTCCAATTCACAATATGTATTTTAAATAAACTTGCTTTGACAGATGAAATTGTGGCCTAAACATATTGTTTTATCTAGTTTAAGAAATTTGAGATACATTTTTAAAGAAGGGGCAGAGGTGTCTACTTCTTCATATGTACAGAAACAGCCATATATATTTCATGAATATAATTAACATTCTTCTTACTTCTGTTATCTATTACAATGAGCTATGAATCCAGTTTTTTAATATACTTCAAAGTCTTTGCCATGTAAGAAATTCTGCACTCACATACTCTAATGAAAGCTCAGTATTTTCTGAAAAACCGAATACATTTATTTACAAGTCTTAATAATACAGCAAAATGTAAATGAAAATTGAAAACACTGCTCATTTTTCTAATTTAATTTGACATATAAAATGGAGTTTCCTCAGAAAAAAAGATTCGTATGAAATTTACCTTACCTTATGATTTATGCTCTAAGAGTACATTTTATAAAAATCAGCAACCAGGCTTCTTTTATGTTTAAATGAACTCAACATGATAAGTATAATGAATAACTTTCTTTTATGTAGTAGCAAAGAGAGTCAATAATCCTTTCAAGAAAGAGACTATTTCATTTCCTCCCAACTTGGATTCACCATAAACTCGATCCACAAATGATATTGGAACCTAGTAAAAAAAAAAAAATATATACGTTAAGTCAGTCTTCAAAAATACCATAAAGAAAACACAGCATGCATACGACAATACAATACAAATAAGATTTGTCTTATGATAGTAAGTCCTTCAAGGTGGTTCAGAATTACATGATACTTACAGCAAACTGTACCTCCAAATCTTTAAACATTTCATTACCTAAAAATAAGTCATATGAACCAAATCTACACCCATATGAAAAGCAATGATCCTGAATATTAAGCTGTTGACAAAGTTTTAACCTGTATTTTGAGAAAAAATTATACTCCAAAAGTAAAATGGCCTTTCACTTAATTTTTTCAGTAGTCCATTAAATCTGTCACTATGTTTTAGTGTTAAGTTATAAATCTTAACACTTCCACAAGAGACATACGACATTCTAGTTATTTTCTTGCTATGAGTAAGGCATCAGGGTTAAAGAGAAGAGCCTTTCCTAAGAGCTCACTAGCTAGCTGTAAATATTACTGACCACTTCCTGTCCCCATAATTCCTGTCCTCTTCACTTACTCATAGAAAATGGCAAATGGATTCATGATTTGAGTGGCTCCTGGCTATGGGAAAAAGAAAAGGAGCAAACACATTCATCCCACAATGCTGAGTGGTCAGAAGAAAGGGCAAGCAAGATGCAGAAGGTACCGGCAACTTTTAGTTCTTTAAAAGGGAATGGTGCCTTCTATTAATGTTTTAAATCTCGGTAGGTCAAATGTACTTAATTTGAAAGTGACTTTTCACCCTTTGGTGCATGGATATTCTAAACAACTAGAAGACTTCATATATTTAATAGTCATGCAAGTTAAACTTTTTACTAGAAGTCTAAACCTGTTTCTTTATGAGGAATACAACATACTATTTACCATCAGTCTGCCTACCTCGCCAATAGTATAATTCAACTGTCTTGCCCGAACAATCATCTCCATCTGGAAGACGTAGCCTTTAGAAACACATTTTTCTATCAATTTCTGTAGAACTTCTCTTCGATATAACCTGTGAGAAATTAAAATATACGTGAACACCTAGATATATACTTGTTTACAGGTATCTTGACTTTTTGAAAGTTCACTGGTTATTTATAAACCTAAAACTTTCATTAGTCATTTGTATGCAGAAAAACTGTCACGGCTTATGATTATGATACATTTGTCCTGAACTGGAACAGTCATGAAATATTTAGTAAATAATTTAGAATAATTTTGAAAATGAATTTTTAGTATCTTTTAGGAAATTTTTTTTCTACCATACTACCAGAAATTGTAAAAATACAGCAAAGTGAATCATTTGAAGCAGAACCACCCACTGGTTTTAGCTTTAAATTTTAAAATTTATTTTTAAAGTTGACTGAAGAAAACTGGTTTCAAATATTGTAACAATAGAGTTGATAGATGATGATTGATCAACAATATAAAGGAGATGACAAGAGCAAACCCAGTAATTAACAGGTGTTTCCTCATAAATGTCTGAGCAGTTTCTATTTCCCAACATCTACTAAATAAATTAACCTGGGATAAACAAAGTCCCTTTAGGGGACTTAATAACAGGGAGCTCCTGAAGAAAGTGACTAGGTTCACCCACAGGACTTCCCAGCTGCTCTCTCTTTGTAAATCTGATGGGCTATGTTTGGCGTGCAGCCCATCTAAAGTGGGGCGGCACATCTGCCCATGACAGGTGTCTAACTGTGACCTCAAATGGTAACAGCTGTATCCTCCCAGGATCGCCTCAATCCTGCAATGCATAGGTTCCTATCTTTTTTTTTTTTTAAGATTTATTTAATTTATTTATGAGAGAGAGAGAGAGAGAGAGAGAGAGAGAGAGAGAGAGAGAGAGGCAGAGACACAGAGACACAGGCAGAGGGAGAAGCAGGCTCCATGCAGGGAGCCCGACACAGGACTCAATCCCAAGACTCCAGGATCACGCCCTGGGCCAAGGGCAGGCGCTAAACCACTGAACCACCCAGGGATTCCCCCTAGGTTCCTATCTTAACCTAGTCAATTTTAACAAAGGACAAAAGAATTAACATTACTTAATGGAAAAAAGCAAATGCCAAGTAATATAAATTATCAACTAATGCATGAAGTTTGGACAGGCAACATGCAGTTTCAGAGATAAATTACCCTCCCCCCAACCTGGAAGGAGGCTTTGTTCCAGTTAAACAAGAATTTCTTTTTAAAATTAAAAACATATAGAGGAGTATCCGGGTGGCTCAGTGGTTGAGTGTTTGCCTTTGGCTCAGGTCGTGATCCCAGGGTCCTGGGATCGAGTCTCACATCGGGGTCCCCACAGGGAGCCTGCTTCTCCCTCCGCCTACATATTTGCCTTTCTGTGTCTCTCCTGAATAAATAAAATCTTAAAAAACAAAAAACATTTGGAGATCAAGGTAACTGAAAACACCCAAAACATTAGCATTTTAAACTCTGTGGACAGTGCTATAAATATTCATAGAAATTGCAGAAAATTGCTGGAAGACGTGCTGTCTTTTGGAGCATATTACCAGTGATAGCAATGTTCTGAATAAGCAATGGGTAGCCACCTTGGCTCCCTGGGTCCCCCGCTAAGGGCTGAGCACCAATGTGAATGTTAACAAGCATACTAACCTAAGCCCTGTCTTTGATGCTCTTTAGAAAGTACATTTTTCCTTAAGAAGATGCTCAGTCCTCATTAGCAACTTTTAAGAAACTTCAGTCTGCCTTTTTCGGTGTGTTCCAAAACAAAAATAGGGTAGAAATGAAAAGCGTTTCTAAAAATAAGTCATTGTATATGAAGAAATTTAGACAAGAAGTTGGAAATAATTGAAAATATAAACCCACAAGTTTTTACTGTACCTGAAACTTCCTGTTAAGTCAGATGCTCCTGGTCTGAGCAAAATCTGAGTTAAAAAATTGGCCCCGCGGCTGTTTAAATAAAACAATTAGATTTTCTTTATAAAATAATTTTCGAAAAAAAAATAAAATAATTTTCGAAACAAAGAGAAACACATTGAAGATCAAAGTGCTAAAACTGCTACACTAATTCACACATGCAACACTATTTCACAAAAATGTCAATTTTATAGAAGACAAAGTTTAGCCAGTAAAAGATCTGATATTCTCATTTTTGAGAAAATAGGGACTTTTATCCTTTGAATGGACATTTAGAGAGCACCTATAAAACAATCATTCTTTTAAGCTTTAGGTAAGAAAGATAACAGATTTTTAATTCAACTTGCATGTTTGCCAACAGTCCTCATTTAGAACTATGAACATCTTTCAGACAGCAAAAGGGACCAGGGATTTGGAGTCTCCTTTTCAGATTCTAATAAGCACAAAGGATCATGGGTTTCAATCAGGCAACAGGTCAGTCTGCATAAAAATGGCACTTTTTAAAAAAAAGAAGGTATGTAAGTGGGAAAGGGTTTTGGTTTCTGGCACTCTGGAAATTGAACAAAGGTTCATTCTGAGACTGTTTCAGTCTACTTGGGCCACTATAACAAAATACTAGAGACTGGGTAGCTAATACAACAGATATTTCTTTCTCTCAAGTCCTGAGGGCTAGGAAGTCCAAGATGAAGGTGTAGCCGACCTGGCTTCTGGTGAAAACCCTCTTCCTGGCTTACAGAGGCTGCCTTCCCCACAATGTGCTCACAGTGGGGAGGAGGGCAACAGAAGCCAAGCTCTCTGGTCTCTTCTTGAAAGGGCAATAATCCCACTATGAGTGCCCCACGGTCACTAAATTTAATTATTCCCAAAGACCCCACCCTCAAATACCAACACTTTGAAGGTAAGGTATTTTAACACATACATTTTAGCAGACATCCAGTCTATAACAATGACAGCATATGTACTTCAAACACAACTAAGTATCAATTTCAAGCTATTACTAATAGCTATTATTAACATTTCAAAAAGATCTGAAATACTCTTGGAAAAAGTGACTTTCATATTACAGGTATTTTAGTGAGCTCTAATTCAGGGAAAAAAAGTTTTCTGGGGCAGACTGGAAAGAAGAGCTTCTCTCCAAAGCCTAGGTAACTACCAAGGGCCTCCCTAGGAAAGATTATTTCTATACAGATAACATGGTTAGGGATATAGCTGAGATAATGGCTAACAAAAACATTTTCCCTTTCAAGTTGCTTCCAATAACAATAATTCTAGGATACAGCTTACCCCTCAAAATGGGTTTAGTCAAAGGAAAGTGAGCATATGTATATATAGGTGTACGTATACATATATATTTGTACCTCTATCAAGCGAATGTATTTTTAAATTGGGGTTTTTAACATTAAAATGCAGCAAGAGTCAAACAGGCTTGGATTCAAATTCTAGTCTACACAAATGAGTTTGTGGGCAAGTGATTACATAATCTTTCTCAGGAGTATATACTCTAAGTCAGAGTAGACATTAACAACTAATGACAAACGCTACTCAATACAACTTAATAATCCAACTAAAAATTGTAAAGGGTCTCTGACTGGGACTCCCTAATTTTAAATAAGAGCTGCAATGACCAAATTCAGAGCGCCTAAGAGATCACTCACTTGTTGGTCTCAACATTGGCCGCACAACAAAATCATACAGAGAGCCTGTGAAAAATACTGTTTTGCCCCGCCCATGGAGATCCATTCACACAGTGTGTGAATGAGAATGGGACAGATCCAGTCTACAGTGTGTGCATGAGAATGGGAAAATGACAAGGAACAGTCATGTATGACTTTCTCTCTATGTGATTCCAATATTCAGCAGGATTAAAAACCAGTTTTATCCAACCCCTTCATTTCACTGAAGATTGAGACTCTTACAGGTCTTCAAAGACTTGCCCAAGGTTCCACAGTTAAAACAGTCAGAACTGAGATTAACAGGATCTTCCATAAGAATGAAAAGAGTAATAAAAAGCACTAATACTAGTAAGAATACATATAAAGGTATGCTGTCATATATTAAGTAGTAAGCGACATAGATCCCTTATAGGCTAAAATAGATCTCATCTTCCCAACAACTACAAAAAGGTGCTATAGGTTAAATATGGTCAGAAATTCTTTGTGGGTCTTTCGATTCTCCTTTCCCCATCCCTTGATTATGGGCTTGCCTTGGCCAAGACAATAATGCTGTTAGCCCTGGAGCCTAAGACTCAAGAGGTCTTGCTGCTGCAGCCTTGGTACTCTTAGATGCTGCCCTTAGAATGCCATGTAAGGAAGCTGGTCTAGCTTTCCAGAAGGTGCAAGAGAACTGAGATGCTCCAGACAACAACCAGATCCAACTACTAGATATGTGAATGAGGACATTTTGAATCTTCCAGCTCAGCTGACCCTCCAGCTTAAGAAGCTGCATGGACGAGCCCAGGTGAAACCCAGAGAGCCACTAGCCAAGCCACAGACTTGAGAGAAAATACTTGTTTTAAGTCACTAAACTTTAACATAGTTTGATATAATAATAGAAACTGAAACTGTTTTCTGTTTCCATTTTATGTTGAGGGAAGTAAAGCCAGAAAAGGTACAATATATTATGCTAAGTGACACAGGAATTAAATGACAGTCAGGATTTTAATCCAGGTCTAACCTCGAAGCCTCCCTACTTTATGCTGCTTAGTAAAAATTGAAATCATAAAGTGTCTCATTCATTTAAAATGATTATACACACATACACACACACGTGTGCACATAAATATAAAAAGACCACTTATTTAGTCTGAAAATACAAATAGGTTCACTTAAAGCTGAAGGTCCAGTAAAATTAATTTTGTTTAATTAGTCCATTTCTAACAAAGGTTCAAAGATTTATGCTGACTTTCCTTAGTGAAAAATATCCAAAATAAAATACTTGAATCATGGGAAAAATTGTACATAAGGAGCTATCTGGGAGTCCATATTGGAAGTTTACTATCTGATCCCAGAAATCCCAAGGGAGCATGGTAATGTAATTCAAATGCCCGTCAAAAACAAATTTCCAATAGTTACACTAAAAACTATAGAAACTGCAGCATGTGTATATACCTGATTATTTTTCTTTTCAAATCCCAGCCGTATACACCTCCATTTCCTTTGTAGCGAGTTCCAGAGACAATGTCAAAATTACCCTCCTTCTGCTTCCTGTTGAAAAAAAATAAATTAGCTGTCAATTAGAAAAAGCTATTGACCTTTCAATAGTTATTTTCTTGAGCTACACAAGAACTTTTAAGATTTGCCAAGAAAAACAATGCCAAGAAAACAGATGAACTATATCACTGAGAAATCTTTCAAAGTAAGATTTTTCAAACCTGTTTTCCTTTATTAATTCCTAAAACTAAAAAATAGTCGTATTTGCTGATTGCACCATGTGAAACCATCCTAAAACGTAATCCCCCTCCATTCTGTTCTTGGCTCCATTAAGTAAACAGTGCTAAAACAGCCTGGTAACTCGCCATACCTTTCCCCTTCCAGAGAAATGAAGATACATATAAACCCCAGGGATTCTGGATGTTTAACAAAACTGGAACCCCAAAAGGTACATTCTGCCTTTTGTCAGTTAACAATATACATAATGGAAATCATGGATATCCTATAGGTCCACAAAGACATTCTTTCTAATAGCTGCAAAAATATCCCAGAGAACACTGGACCCATATACTTGTATGGCTGTTTTCATGGTGGGTCTTCTCACCCCCCAACACCACAACCACAATGAATAGCGTGTGGCAACATTCTTACAAATATCTATCCTGGTGCTTATACAACCCAAAGTGGAAACAAATGTTCCAAGTATTTTGAACAGTTATCACCAGAAATTACTTTCCAAAAAGGTTGTAGCAACTCATGCTTCCTCCAGCAATAGTTGTGTGTGTCCATTTCCTGCCATTTTATCTGTGCTAGATGCGCTGCTCTTTAAGTTTGTAATTATGATAAACTAACAGGTTATAAAATACAGCCACAGTTATCTCGGTTCGTGTTTCCCTGACAACATCCCAGGGTGTCTTCCCTCAGGTTTATTAGCCATTGGTCTTTCTTCTACATATGGCCTCTTTGTATCTTCCACACATTTTCTATTCCCCTGGTTCCATTTCCTTCTCAGGTCAAAGGGGCTCTTGGGAATTAGATTATACAGGCAGAGAAGATGTCTCTGAGGTGACTTTATGCAGAGATCAAAGGATGAGAAGTAGCTGGCTATTAAGGAGCAGGGTAAGGGCATTTTATTTATTATTTTTAAAAGATTTATTTGTTCATGATAGACATAGAGGCGGGGAGAGAGAGAGAGAGGCAGAGACAGGCAGAGGGAGAAGCAGGCTTCACGCTGGGAGCCTGACGCGGAACTCAATCCCGGGAGCCCAGGATCATGCCCTGGGCCAAAGGCAGGTGCTAAAACCTCTGAGCCACCCAGGGATCCCAGGGTAAGAGCATATTAAGGCAAAAAAACATAGCACCCTGTGTGACACAGCAATGGAAGGAGTATGCCCGAAGCAGCGAGTGGAGGGGAAGAGCACAATGATGAGCTCAGAAAGGGAGGCAAGGGCCAGATTACATAGCGGTTTAATGGGCAAGGAAAAGAATGAGTTTCTTCCCATCTGTTAATGAGATCTTGCTGAAGTAACTGAAATAGGAGAGTAACATTACCTAATTGTTTTAGTATATTTAGTTCAATATACAACAGTTTCTAAATTCTTATTCTGAGTGGTTTCAAGTTGTCTTGGATTTTTTTTTTATTTTTTATTTATTTTATTTATGATAGTCACAGAGAGAGAGAGAGAGAGAGAGAGAGAGAGAGGGAGGCAGGCAGAGACACAGGCAGAGGGAGAAGCAGGCTCCATGCACCGGGAGCCCGACGTGGGATTCGATCCCAGGTCTCCAGGATCGCGCCCTGGGCCAAAGGCAGGCGCTAAACCGCTGCGCCACCCAGGGATCCCAATGTCTTGGATTTTCTAATACAACTACATTGCTTGCAAAATACAATTTTGTATGCTTTATTAAGGTTTACACTAAATTCTTGTTCTCACATCACTTAAAATGTCTACATGATATATAGTAACAGCTGGTATGTCTACCTTGATGCATTTATTAACGATTCAACATTTCATCATTTAGTAAGATGGCTGTGTTAGGAGTGGGCTGTCTTTATCAAATTTAGGTGGTTTCCTTTTATTTCTATTTTCAAGGTTTTATTAGAAGTGGCAAATACAGTTATTGAATTACACCTTTTACTATCTATAGACTTAACCATACTGCTTTGTTAATGTGACAAATAAGTTATATGGATGAATTCTTAATGATGAACCATTCTGGCATTCTTGGAATAAACCCTATTTATTCATGGTGTTTTACCCTTTGATACAGGGCTAAATTTCCCTTAATAGGGAAGTCACCTGCCATCTTTTCCTGTAGTCTGGGAGAATTTAGATTAGATAATAAAGGAATTATCTGTTGACTATCCCGAAAATATTTCATTTAGTCACATATCTCTAGTTATGAGCCTCAGATCTACATGTTGGTTTCATTTCCGACAGCAAACTTAAAATAGCATGTGCATTCTTAATTAGTAAAAAATGAAAATAAGTCCAAAATTAACATAAATGATTTGAATTATAATTCTTTCAAATATTAAAAATACCTACCTAATGAATTCAGGAATAAATTTTGGCTGAAATTTAGAAAAAATAAACATTAGATGAGTAAAGCAGGCTTAGACTATGATGAATAACTAATAAAGAAAGATACCACTTACATGATGTGAGAGATCAGCATCCATAATAATTATGTAGTTTCCTGTGGCATGTTTCATTCCATGAATATACGCAGTTCCTAAAAATGAATATATATCCATTAAAGAAAACTGTCAGAAATGCTTAAATATATACCTGAACAGGGAAGAAATTAAGCATCTGAAAAGCATCATTAGTTCCTTAAAGGCAATACTAAACTATAATTAAATCTTTATTTATTCTCTATTAACTACACTTCTCTGTTCCATTCTTTCATCTCCAACCTCACCTTAGTCCCAAGCACCACCTTCTGATGCTTGGATCCCCAGCTAACAAGTATTTCCCTGCTTCTGCTTTTCCCATCACTCCTGGCCGATTTCCACAAAAGCTACCCACTGAGTGTCATCTACACTGTAAGCCTAGTACACTAGAGCCCTGGCCTGGTATTTGGGGTCAAAGGCGCAGCCTGCAATTACTTAGCCACCTCCTTGCCTAAAAGGTCCCCAGGGACCTGGCAGATAAGGATAAGTGGGGATTTGGGGCTTCCCGCATTCTCTAGTTCCAAACCACCACAGTATAACAAGGCTGAACTCTTCTAATTTCTTTTGGTAAAAAGTGAGGATCACAGCTTTTTGGATTTCCTCTGACTGGTCAGGAATTCTTGGTTGCTTTCATGGCAGGTCCCAGATAATTTCAATCTCAAAGAACCTCTGGGTTCAGATACTCAGAACACCTGATGATACATGAGAACTGATGGTCTTCAAGACAGCAAATACTCAATTTTTAAGAACTGTGCTTCCAATTTTTCAGTGAAATTATACCACTTCTCAACATAAGCAACTGTAACCAACAACAGAAATCAAGGCACTGAGATATTCATCTCAGAATGACTTAGTTCATCTGAGACTTTCTATAGCCCTGTTTAAAAACTAGAAAAGTTTTTAAAAATAAAGAACAACTTTTTGCAACTTATTAAGAAATTTTCAAAGATTAATGGCTAAAGTGGTGTGCTGGTCCAAAACATTTCCACTCAGATACCTTCTCTGGCCCTTCCCTAATCTGCTCTACATTGATGGAAATACAGTTCCCAGGTGGTGTCTTCAATTGGCTCAACTGGATAGTTTTGGGAGGCAGGAGGGGATAGTTTCTAGGAGAGAGAAAAGGAAAAGTCTAAATGTGCCCCCATGCTCCTTACCCTGCCTCCCAGCAATGACTGGATATCCTCCATGGCACTAGCTCCGCCAGGGATCCCCCACTTCATCATTGTCCCCCCTTCTAAACAGCCTAGGTTCCTGGGCTCCAAAAACACCATCTCTTCCAACTGTTGCTCCATTCTTAGGATGGAAGCAACCTCTGGCTATTACTAGTGAGTAGCCTCACTGTTCCATTTGGCTTCTCAGCATTCCTTCACCTATGTAACCAGATTCTTCGTATTAAATTCCCTGTACTGAAAGACTGACAGTGGTTTCTGTTTTCCCAAGTGGACCTTGACTGATACAGGCAACTCCAGTGAAACTATTTAGATGTCATTAAGATCATTAAAAACCATCACAGGAGGTCACTGTATTTTGGCCTTGTTCCAAATTAGGAAAATACACACTGGAAAATCTTAACCAAGGCAAGGAGCAGGTATGAGGGGTAAGAGGTTCTACTTACCTAGGCCTAACTTTTTCTCCCGTGGTCTCAGAAGCTGCAAGAATAAGAAATGGCATTTTAACACAAACACTAAAACAAAAAAACCCAAGAAAACAAAAAAACCTTTATTATAGGTGTTTATTCCTTTAAATTAAAATATAGGTGCACTTATTAGACCTTACAGCCAAGTATGCTTAACATTTTTTGCCAAAGCAAAAAAATATTTAGTAACAAATCAAATAGTTTAACAGCTTGGAAAAACAACATTCTTTCACTTTAATTCTGCAGGTCATATTCTGAACATTTTTTCTGGAGCTATCCACCAGAAAATAGTATATAAACAATGTTATGTCTATTACTTGATTTATCATTTTGAACATTATCTGTTGATTCTTTCCCCAAGAAAACCAAGGATTTAACTCATTTGTTCTTTTTTTTTTTTTTTTAAGATTTTATTTATTTATTCATGAGAGAGGCAGAGGGAGAAGCAGGCTTCATGCAGGGAGCCTGATGTGGGACTCATCCTGGAACCCCGGGATCACGCCCCGAGCCAAAGGCCGACACTCAACCACTGAGCCACCCAGGCATCCCGTTAACTCATTTATCCTATAACTTCTTGGAGTACTTGATAGCCACGTTTGTTTTCTCAATTCCTGTTGTGATTTTATTTATGTTGATTTCTTTTTTCTTTGGCTTAAGGTTACAAGGCAGACAATATATGGTCAGTATTTAATGGTAGTCAGGTTGGTTCCAGGTATTTGCTATTATAAATATTGCTATAGGGCAGCCCGGGAGGCTCAGCAGTTTAGCACCGCCTTCAGCCCAGGGCCTGATCCTGGAGTCCCACGTCGGGTTTCCTGCATGGAGCCTGCTTCTCCCTCTGCCTGTGTCTCTGCCCCCCCCCCCCCGCCCGCCGTGTCTCTCATGAATGAATGAATGAATGAATAAATAAATAAATATTGCTACAATAAAGATACTTGTACATATATCCTTTTGCAGAAATCCTGTTATTTCTGTAATTGGCATGATAAAAGCGGAATCACTGGATGCAAGAGTATGCACACTTATTTCTTTGAATTCCTATTATGATTTTAAATGCTGCCATCACTGCATCAACTTATCCTGACTTTATGCTTGGAGACCTCATTACATTCTCTACTGGCCCAATGACATGACTTTAAGAATTAGATGCCTAACAAGAAAACTAATATTTTTTCTTTTCTTACTGTTTGTCAATCACTTAGTCTATTATTATTATTATTATTATTTTGCTTCATATATAAATCTTGACTTACTTGTTTAGCTTTTTTCTTTTGTCTGGAAATTTATGAAAAAGTAGAATGCCAAGATTTTGACTCTAAGTTTCTGAGGTACGGGGCTCAAACAAACTCACTCCCGAGCCTATCTTGTCCCCTTCTGCGTATGCCAGGGTATAAGAGGGCTACCTCAGACTGCAAATCTCTAAACAAAGTATTTTCTGTTCAATTCAACCAGTTAATTTCTTTTTTTTAACTTCATGCAAACTCCTGTAGGTCTTGGGGAGGAACGCAGATAAAATACACTCCTGCTCAATTAGCTCTTATATAGAAAACTAGACATTCAGTGAATAAAATCAAAAAAGTTATGTTAGGTTTTGATTTTGATTGATAGTTACTGACAAAATATTGACCTGGTATCTGCCTTAAAGAAAACAAATCCATTAAAGTTCACCTTAGATTTTCTATAATCCTTTTCTTAGATTTTTCCTACTGGAAAAATTTTTTCTCAAGTTTTTATAAAATATAAATCATGTTGTATATGATAGAGTATTATGGAAGAGTTAAAAGAATGAGATAATTTAGTGATAAAAAATCTCGGGATCCCTGGGTGGCGCAGCGGTTTGGCGCCTGCCTTTGGCCCAGGGCGTGATCCTGGAGACCCGGGATCGAATCCCACGTCGGGCTCCCAGTGCATGGAGCCTGCTTCTCCCTCTGCCTGTGTCTCTGCCTCTCTCTCTCTCTCTCTCTGTGTGACTATCATAAATAAATTTAAAAAAATTAAAAAAAAATCTCTCAGCTACAATTAAAAATCAACAGAATGATAGAGGCAGATTGCATTTATGTTTAAAAACAAAAAGCACTACATTGCCTAGTTCTACAAATGTAGACACACATACATATATGCACAAAGGTTTGAGGCAACCCACACCAACTTGCTGACTGGGGTCTCCCCTGGAGAAGGGACTAGGAGGTGGATCACAAAAATGCTCATCAAAGGCAACTTCAGTTCTATCAGTAACTTTTTCATTTTATAACAAGAATGTAGTTTTTCATTTATTATGCAATAAAAAGTTCCCATTGTTTCACTGCTTTACTTTCCAATCCTTAGTTTCATCCCCTCCCTTTTCCACCCCTTCAGGTTAATGAGGATGGCATAAAGTAGTGAAACGCACCATAAGGAGAACCATTGTGAGCTCACAGAAAGTATGCACAAGACATACTTTGAAGAATGCTTACCACAACTGCTTATGAGATACTTCATGTGATGCTATAATTTAACAAAAAAATTATTTTGTATAAAGTACTTGTCATAAAAAATCTTGATGACACTTTAGAAAACCTAGGATCACACAGTATTTGAGTGGACCACACTCTCAAATTCAAAAAGTTGAAAGGAAGAATGAAAAGAAAAACAAATCTTCAGCTAAGAAAGGCTGTTTTTGTACATTAAGGCACTGATCTTTCTGTTAGATAATATTTTGGTACTTAGGGATAAACAACAGAAATCAATCTTTCAATCCCACAGTTGTGTTAGACATTTTAAATTAATGAACATATATTACATTTTGTTAAAATAACAATTTGTAAAAATACTAAACTATGAAATAACATAGGTGACTTAAACTAATCTCAAGTTGGAGGCTGAAACAGATGACCTAAATCAGGTGTAACAGATGCGCTCAACAAGGAAAGGCTGAAGCCTAATCTCAGACCCTCCTGCCCAGTAACCCTGGTTAACAATACAGGATATGTACCTTCAATTTTTCTAGGGTCCCATCTTCACTGTTAGCTGTGTAACCTTGGAAAGTGACAAACTCTCATCTCAGTTTAGGTTAAAGGGAAAAAACAACTTTGTTTTCTGAAATATTCATTTTAACCAGTTTGAAAGACTAGCGAACAAAGCATCCATGCTGAATATTTTGATATTCTAAGAAATCTTCAATAATTTTTCTCCATCTCCTCTCCCAACTAAACACACACACCTAAAAGCAAGTAAGCACCATCCACAGCATGGCTTGATATTGTTGGGGGGAATAATTTTCTAGTTTAAATGATTCAAAGGTCAGTAATAAAATAATGAAGGAACGGGATTTCCCTGGTAATACAGGAAAATCCTAATCCTGATACAATTTTTTCCTCATTATTTTGAATTTTATGGGCTTGATGGGAAAAATGGAACTTTTTGAGGGTCACATTGTTTTAGAATTTAAAAAGCTCAATTTAGTAGACATACCCTAGGATCAACCAATCAATTACAACTCAAGGCTGAATGAAGTTCTCTGACAAAAGTATTCAAAATACTGTCAGGTTGATGCTCCCAGATTAAATAACATATAACTCAGAGTATTCTATATAATAACAAATGTGATTTAGTGCATTGGTTCACAGTCTCTAAAGAAAAACTGGGGAACTGTTAACCAAAAAATGAACCTGTTACTACTAGAAGGCTGAAAATCTGTCAATTTTTAATCTCCTCCTGTACATCAGGAGATATTCAGACGATTGGAGGTGTGATAGATCTTTGAGTTACCCATGTGTGATATGGAAATAATAACTAGCATAGAAGAGATTTATTATCACGTGTATAAGAGTCAACATCTTTCCTTTAAACTGCTCCCACTGACCACCACCTCATCCAACTGAACAAAAATTATTTCACTGTCAGGATTAAGTAAGAACATGTGTACCCAGTGAAAGCTTTTTATAATGCTTAATTGCCTTTTCTTAAAATGCAAATATCAATAAAGGTTCTCCAAGAGATTTTTGTGTATGTCTATACTGATGGTTCTCTTTTGGGAGGAAGGGACAATTTTGCCCAAAAGGGGTCATTTGATGCTACTCAAGAGACATTTTGGTTGCCACCTTGGGGAGAAGGGCTGCTAATGGCATCTAGTGGGTAGAGTCCAGGGATGATTTAAATGTTCAATTACAGGGATGCCTGGGTGGCTCAGTGGTTAAATGTCTGCCTTCAGCTCAGGGTGTGATCCCGGGGTCCTGACTGAGTCCCACAGCAGGCTCCTCACAGGGAGCCTGCTTCTCCCTCAGCCTGTATTTCTGCCTCTCTTTCTCTCATGAATCTCTTTTTAAAAAAATAATAAAAAATAAATAAATGTCCTATTACAGCCCCTACCCCCCATCCAAGGCAAAGAATTAGGTCCCAAATGTCAATAGTGCCAAGACTGAAAAACTCTATGTGTAAAATACCCAATGCCTAGCATGTGTTTTCTAATTAAATCTGGACTTAATTGAATGCTTTTAGCCTAAGAATTATCTAAAGCTGAGCTCACAAGTATATTCAAACACTTATAAATACAAACCATTATAAAAATAAACCAGTGATCAAAAACAAAAATTATAAAGCCATTATAAAATGAATTCTACATCTAAGTTACTCCAGTAGAAAAACAACATCCTTTAAAGTACTGTGGGAAAATCTAAAATTTAAGACTTAGAAAGTCAATCCACTCTGGTAAAACTGTTCTACAGATAAAAAGAAAGATGGCAAGTGCTCTGAAAAATAGAAATGCCAAATTCCACATGAAAACAATCACCCTTCCCAGCTAACAAGGTTTTATAGTTCCGAAAAAGGGAGCCAGAAAGATCAAGACATGCATTACTAATTGCAATCTAGTTCAGTAACATTCCTTATCAATTCAGTATCATGCTTTAATTTTGCCCTTCAAGGAAACTTATCTGCAGAGTAAGTTATAAAAACAGTTTATTTAAAGGTTGACTTGGGGCACCTGGGTGGCTCAGCGGTTGAGCGTCTGCCTTTGGCTCAGGGTGTGATCCCACAGTACCGGGCTCGAGTCCCACATCCAGCTTCCTGCATGGAGCCTGCTTCTCCCTCTGCCTGTGTCTCTGCCTCTCTCTCTCTGTGTCTTTCATGAATAAATAAATAAAATCTTTAAAAACAAAAAAACAAAGGTTGACTACTTTGCTGTAAAATTACGACTGACCCAACAACCAAAGGCATATAAAACTTTAATAAGCACAATGAAAATGCATCTGAATTCCAAGTATATAAAATGCTTTCTATTGTTTCAGTTTCCAAAAAAAATAGATTGAATTTAAGCATTGACATTTCTCATCTTTCCCCTAGACAAACACAAGTGATATAAAAAAAATGTTCACGACTTACAATTTTGTCTGACCCATAGATCTTCTCCAGCTGTTCAGCAACGTCCCTTGTTCCATCTGGGCTTCCATCATCTATGATTATAATTTCATAATTGATTCCACTAAAATTAAAAAAAGTGAAAGTTTGTATTGTTTGTGGAGACAACATTCTCAAATTAAAAAATATTTTTAAATTACTAATTCTTTATTCTTACGAGCATAAGGGGAATTTGTCAGAGTAATCACTAAGGAAAACTTCAATTACCAAATGAAATAAATGTCAAGCATTTAGTATTTCACCTCCAAACTCAGCATGTTGCTGAAAAATGCTATGATGAAGTCCTGAGATATTAAAAAAAATTCTCAGAAAACATACTCTTTAGTTTAAAAACTCAGAGCAATTATATATATAATATCACAGTTTTACTTACAGACTTTAGAAATAGAATTGTATAACCTTAATATCAAATCTTAGTTATAAAAAATATTTCAAAAGTACATTTAGAAGATATCTCAAGTTGATTGAGCTGAGTGAATATTCTCTTAAACTTAATCCGAAATAGATTTAAATAACATAATGAGGAACAAATATGATTTCATTTCACCATTAAAAAAAAAAAAAACCCTCGGGATCCCTGGGTGGCGCAGCGGTTTAGCGCCTGCCTTTGGCCCAGGGCGCGATCCTGGAGACCCGGGATCGAATCCCACGTCAGGCTCCCGGTGCATGGAGCCTGCTTCTCCCTCTGCCTGTGTCTCTGCCTCTCTCTCTCTATCTGTGTGATTGTCATAAATAAATAATAATAATTAAATAAAAAAAAAAACCCTCTTTAAAATGGTGACATAGGGTTGTCTGGGTGGCTCAGCAGTCGAGCATCTGTCTTTGGCTCAGGTCGTAATCCCGGGGTCTTAGGACAGAGTCCTGCATCGGGCTCCTTGCATGGAGCCTGCTTCCTCCTCTGCCTGTGTCTCTGCCTCTCTCTTTCATGAATAAATAAATAAAATCTTTAAAAAATAAAATAAAATGGTGTCAATCTTTTACACCATTATTTCAAATAGCTGTACCCATTATCTCACACTATTAAATACAAAAACACAGAATTACATAAGATTTCAATGTGCTTCAAAATAAACATCTCTCTCTGGGCTTTCCATTCACTTTATGTTATAGTTTCTATTCTAAAAACAAGCCAACACAATACTTGGTTGTACATGTGATCACTATTTTTTCCCCTACCCTGTTTTAGAAGATTTTTTTTTTTAATTACTTTATTGGGAAACTTACGGGGAAACTATAGGAAGCGAAGCGCACCAAACTCCTGCAACACTGTTTCCTCTTGGTCCATACTAAAAACATGTAAGAAAACTGACCAGAAAACACATTCCACAGTTAAATGCTTTAAAAAAAATCAGCCCTAACAAACTAGGAAGAAAGCTAAACTCAACCCCAGCCTATGGGTTAAGAGTAAATACCAGGACTTCAGTTGCTCGAGGGGCTTTATTTTGGGCAATTGCTTTACAAGCAGAAATATGTAAGATGTTGACTCTAGTTGTTATGTTGAAAGAGCCAAATTTCATAAACAAATGAAGTCATTTGTTAGCAAATTATACTTTCACTTCAAGGTGCCCAGACCACCTGAGGGTAAGGTAGTTAAAGGAATTTGACTTCATCTGAAATGAAAATTGTTTCCTTCATTAAACATCTCTGATTAAGGCAAAAAAATATGTGAGACTCAGAAGACACATTGAACAAGACTGACGATATGACAATTTCTCTGTGGAAAGTGCTTATAGAAACCAAAATAAAAAGATAATTAAAAAGAGGAGAAAAGGTATGAATTAAAAAAAAAAAAACTATGAGGAGCCAGGCACATTGAGATAATTATGCCAATGAAATAATTATAGTCAAAACAGCAATGTTTGGAGAGTAGCATTTCCAAAAACGTTAAGTTCACTAAAGCTTGGGTTGACTGGTTAGTGGGGAAACAGGCACTCTTCCAATGACAGGCCTAAGTCGGTACAACCTTTTTTTGGAGGGAGGGGGGGTAAGCAATTGTATAATAACTGTCAATTTTTTTTTTAAGATTTTACTTACTTATTCATGAGAGAGACACGCACACACACACACAGAGGCAGACACACAGGCAGAGGGAGAAGCAGGCTCCATGCAGAGAGCTGGACGTGGGACTCGATCCCGGGTCTTCAGGATCACGCCCTGGGTGGAAGGCAGGTGCTAAACCGCTGAGCCACCCAGGGATCCCAATAACTGTCAATTTTAAGCACATCTGTTGACCCAGCAATTCTATCCTGAAGACTTTATCCCCAGTACACTAGTCAAAGTATGGGTGTTATTTGTTGCAACATTCTTCTAATAGATAAGCCCCCACCATGTGCTGAGCCCTTATCTAAATGCTGGAAAATACCGTGTGAACAAAGCCCCTGTTTTCATTTGTAAAGCACACGTCAACAAGGGGAAAACAAAAAAGTCCTAGAAATAATCTGCGTCCAGGGATGACCCGGTTACGTTACAACACAGTCATGTGGAATATGGTCTCATTTTCAAAAGTTAATTTCCTAAGTTGGTCCGTGTTGATAATGGAAAGGCCTTCAGAGATCCATCCGTCCCACCCATGATCCCGCTGGTGCAACCCTAAAACAAGTTACTTCTCTACCGATACCAGGGTTTTTCTGGGGGAAAAAAAAAATTTTTTTTTTTAAAATATATCGTATAACGCTTTCAAATTCAAACTCTAAAAGCTCCAGTTTCTAACGACCGTTATCAGACATCCACGAGTGACCAACGAAGTTGCCCAGCCCAGCAGCAGCAGCAGCAGCAGCTCCCTAACCCACAGAGATCAAACCTCATGCTTACATAAGCACTCGGCACGGGGGCGGGAGTGAGCGTGCTCATTTAGACTCCCGGCTCCTGCCGCATCCTGACCACCTAGGAGTAAAAGAGGGAGGTCAAGCTTTCAACCTCGCTGCAAACCAAAGGGTGCCCAACCCGACCAAAAAAAAAAAAAAAGAAAGAAAACAAGAGAAAGCACACGGGGGAAGGGGGAGGGGGAGGGGGACGGGAGTGTACAATAAACGGGGTGTCTCACAACACCCAAGGGCAGGCATGAGACCCCGAGACAACCCCAGAAGCATCCGCGTCTGCTCGCCCCAAGGGTGGCCTCCTCTCCAGGGCTTCCCTCGAGAGCCGAAGGCAGGCCGCGCAGAGCCGCCTCGCGCAGCCAACCGCCGACACCCGGGCCGGCCACGCCAGCTCGTCTCACTCCTCGGGGAGGGAGGCCGGGCACGCTACCTCTCGGAGAAGCTTTTCACCAGCAGCCACACGATGAGCGGTAGGTTCTCGCGCTCGTTGTAGGTAGGCAACAGCACCGAATACTTGTCCTGTCGCGGGGCGCGTCCCTCCGGCTCCCGCCGAGACCTACGAGGGCTACCGCTCGCTTCCTCGGAGGCCATCGCGGAACTGCGCGAGTCGCCGGAAGCGGAATGACGTCAACGCGGCGCGGGAAGGGGACGGGTCGGACCGTACCAAATCCGGAAAGAGGGGGGGAAGCGGGCTCTGTGTGTGTGTGTGTGTTTAGGGGAAGGGTTCTAGTTCTCCTAAAGCTCTCTTCGTGGCTCCATTGGAAGTATTCAGGAACTGTGAAACATAAATGTTGAACCTGAGCGTTTCTTCGTGAGGTTCATGTCTACTTCTCACTTTTCCCCCCAAACTCCGGGGCCGCGCTTTAGTTTATTCCAGTCGCTAGGAGACGGCAGGCCGGAAGCGGAAATGCCTTTCAGGACGGCTTCCAGGAGTGGCGCCATGGCTTCCCGGGAGGAGGTGCTCGCTCTGCAGGCAGAGGTTGCCCGGCGTGAGGAGGAGCTGAGTTCCTTGAAGCAGAGACTGGCAGCGGCTCTTTTGGCGGAGCAGGCGCCAGAGCGGCTGGTCCCGGCGTCACCCCTGCCGCCGAAGGCCGCTCTGTCTCGGGAGGAGATTTTGCGTTATAGCCGGCAGCTGGTGCTCCCGGAGCTGGGAGTGCGCGGACAGCTGCGCCTGGCCGCCGCGTCGGTGCTCGTCGTGGGCTGCGGTGGGCTCGGCTGCCCGCTGGCGCAGTACCTGGCCGCGGCCGGCGTAGGCCGCCTTGGCCTTGTGGACTACGACGTAGTAGAAATGAGCAACTTGGCGCGGCAGGTGCTGCACGGCGAGGCGCTGGCCGGGCAGGCTAAGGCCTTCTCGGCCGCTGCGTCGCTGCGCCGCCTCAATTCGGCGGTAGAGTGCGTGCCCTATGCGCAAGCGCTGACGCCGGCCACGGCGCTAGGCCTAGTCCGCCGCTACGACGTGGTGGCCGACTGCTCTGACAACGCGCCCACTCGCTATCTGGTCAGTGACGCGTGTGTGCTAGCCGGCCGGCCTCTCGTGTCCGCCAGCGCCCTGCGCTGGGAGGGCCAAGTCACCGTGTACCACTACGACGGCGGGCCTTGCTATCGCTGCGTGTTCCCCCAGCCGCCCCCAGCGGAGACTGTGACCAGCTGCGCGGACGGCGGGGTGCTCGGTGTCGTAACCGGGGTCCTGGGCTGCCTGCAGGCGCTGGAAGTTTTGAAGATCGCAGCAGGTCTGGGTCCGTCTTACAGTCGCAGCCTGTTAATCTTTGATGCCCTCAGGGGCCAATTTCGCTGTATTCAGCTTCGGAGCCGCAGGCTCGACTGCGCGGCTTGCGGCGAGCGGCCCACTGTGACTGCCCTGCAGGACTACGAAGCCTTCTGCGGCTCCTCGGCCACCGATAAGTGCCGCTCCCTGCAGTTGCTGAGCCCCGAGGAGCGAGTTTCGGTCGCCGACTATAAGCGACTTCTGGACTCAGGCTCACCCCACCTGCTGCTGGACGTCAGACCTCAAGTGGAGGTGGACATCTGTCGTTTGCCTCATGCCCTGCACGTTCCCTTGAAACACTTGGAGCGGAGGGACGCGGAGAGCCTGAAACTCTTAGGAGACGCAATCCGGGAAGGGAAGCAGGGCGCCCAGGCAGGGGCAGCTTTCCCAGTTTATGTGATTTGCAAACTGGGCAATGACTCCCAGAGAGCCGTGAAGATCCTGCAGTCTTTGACAGCAGTCCAGGAGTTAGAATCTTTAGCAGTTCAGGATGTTGTGGGGGGCCTCATGGCCTGGGCTGCCAAAATCGATGGAACATTTCCTCAGTACTGAAGTGGATGGTAGAGCCTGACCGGAGCCAGATGTGGATTGATTGCCCTGTGTTACCCAAAAGATACATTTGTTCCTTGTTTTTTTTTTTTTTTTTTTTTTTTTTTCCCCCTCAGGAATGCGTGGAAGAGAGACTGGGATTGTCCAATAACTGAATACATGGACTCCTTTTTATAAGGGGCTTTTCTGTTGTAATGTATTGGATGTTGTAGTTATTAATGGATTTTAATACAGTTTCTGAGAAGTGGCTTGTGTTTTCAGCATTTGGAAGCTGTTTTGAACATGTGAATTTTATTTTTTTGTTTTTGTGAACATGTGAATTTTAATGTTAAGTGACAGGATTTTGTGTTTTGACAGGTCATTTCTCTGTTCTGCTTTTTTTCTCCACCTCCCCCAACAAAAATACTTTTTTTTTTTTTTTTTTTTAAGATTTTGTTTATTTATCCATGAAAGACAGAGAGGCAGAAGCAGGATTCCCATGGAGCAGGGAGCCTGATGTGGGACTCGATCCCAGGACCCCGGGATCACAACCTGAGTCAAAGGCAGACACTTAACCGATTAAGCCACCCAGGTGTCCCTCAAAAAATATGTTAAATCGTCTATTTTAATGCTTGGCAAGTTGTAGTAAACTTAGTCTTCCTGAATTGATCACAGGTGATACACTTAAGGACAGTTTATTTACTAAGACACTGGGTCTTCTCTCTACTTCAAATGATAGCATATATTCTACAGAAATGTCTAAAAATGTAAATTAGTTTAATTATATGGGAAAGGGTCATTCTATTGAATACTTCAAATTAATATCAAAGATATTTCTAGTAAGGTAAAGGAAACTACCTTAGCATTCTGTCAGTTTTCTCATAAATTGCTGGCTTAAAAAGACTTTTTTTTTCTTGCAGTGATTGTACTCTGTCTTACTGTGGTTTGGCTTGCTTTGGAATCTTCAAGCCTGAGCCTCAACCTCCTGCCCTCCTTTGTCCTTTCTTCCTTATCCAGTTTGTTCTTTTACTTTCTTACTGGCCAAGGATGCCAAATACAGTTTTGAATTAAAGTGGAATAGTAAGCATTTTTATCTCCTTCATTATCTAAGGTGAAAAACTTTTGACTATTTGACCAATATTACTTGTTACTTTACTGTAGCTACTCTTTATCAGATTAAAGAAGTTTCCTTCTTTTTATAGTTTGGTAAGTTTTTGCTGAATTCATCAAGTCCTTTTTCTGCGTTATTTTGTCCTGTTTTTTCAACTTGGGTTAATGCAGTGATTAACATCAATTAATATTGATTCTACTTATGGTGGCAAAACACACAGCTTTCACCCTCTCATTAACTTCCAAGTGTACAGTACGTACTGTCAACCACATGCACATGCCGTGTAACACATCCCAGAACCCCCTATCCTGCATGGCTGAAACGTTACACCACCAAACAGTTACTCATCTCTCCCCTTCAGTTTGCCTTTTCTATTTTGATTTAATCTATTTTATACCAGTATTTCATAATAGCACAAAATGTAGGTGTTTTTATGTTTACTTACTAAACAATATTTTCTTAAAATGACAGGTAGTCTGCCTAACTTCTATATACAAAATTGAAAGGTTTGGGGGGATCCCTGGATGGCTCAGCAGTTGAGTGCTTGCCTTCGGCCTGAGGCATGATCCTGGAGTCCCGGGATCGAGTCCCACGTCGGGCTCCCTGCATGGAGCCTGCTCCTCCCTCTGTCTGTGTCTCTGCCTCTTTCTCTGTGTCTCTCATGAATAAATAAAATCTTAAAAAAAAAAAAAAAGATTTGGTCGGTATCTGTGGTAAGTTGAAGAATACATGCCTTGTCAAAAGGGTCTCTGCTCTCCAGCTGATTGTCGCATCCAGGTCTATATTCCTGAGAAATGACAGATGTAAATGTGAAATCTTTGTTTTTTTTTGTTTTTTTTTTTAAAAGATTTTATTCATTCTTGAGAGACATAGAGAGGGACAGATAGAAGCAGAGGGAGAAGCAGGCTCCATGCACGGAGCCTGACGTGGGATTTGATCCCAGGTCTTCAGGATCACGCCCTGGGCTGGCGCTAAACCGCTGAGCCACGTGGGCTGCCCCAATGTGAAATCTTTGTATCTCTGGCTATAATTTTTTTAAGTTTAACAGCTTGTGGATCAGACAAAGCCCTTGCAGGTCAGATTTACTCATCAGTTTGTAACCTCTGACATAGACTCTTAACATAAAAGGATGGTATTATTTAACCATCAAATTAAAAATTAGGATAATCCTTACTTTTAACTGTGAAACATTGTAACCCATGGTTTTTTGTTTTTTGTTTTGTTTTGTTTTGTTTTTGTAACCCATGTTTTGAATGGGTATGCCTCAACCTTTTTTGTAAAGATGGAGCAGGTTTTTTGTGACTTTTTCCCAAGGAGTTGTGGAAATATATAACTGAGACCAGGAGAGCAGAGTAAAGATGGCTGGCCCGTGTCTCAGCTTCTTACTTCCAGGACAAAAGCTGTTTCTGCTAAATACCAAGAAACAAGAAAGTGGACAAACATGGGCACTATTGCTTGTTCTAAAGATTGACTTCCTAAACAATTCTGGTAGTTCCTGCAAACTTGGTTCTCTTTTTTTTTTTTTTTTTAAGATTTAATTTATTTATTTATGAGAGACACAAAGAGAGGCAGAGGGAGAAGCAGGCTTCATGCAGGGAGCCCGATGCGGGACTTAATCCCACGGTTTTAGGATCATGCCCTGGGCAGAAGGCAGATGCTCAACCGCTGAGCCACCCGGGCATCCCAAACTTGGTTCTCTATAGGACAGGTAACAACAGCAGGTGATTCTTGCTGCTTAAGTAGGAAAGGGGCTTATGAAAATAAGATGAGGTGCTTCTGAGAATCTTGGGGACAGCCTTGAAGCTGTAGTTCCAAGAGTGATGCCCCAAACCATGCACAGATCTGACCTGAGAACACTTTCTTTGCTATGCTGCCCCATCTAGCTCTAGAGGAAACTGCTAGAATAGCCTCACTGCTCTTCCAGAGAGCCCAGCACTTTGGCCACTGCTCAGGGGACAGGAAGCAGAATCACTTGACATGGATTGCTCTTCTGAGTCAATCTCCTGAGGTGCATCTGGTGGGGAGGGCCTAGTCCCATGCTTCCATCCCAGCTGCAAAAATGGCTGGGTATTTGAGTTCTGAGGTCTGCAATTGGGACACAATCTGGTGTCTTCTCAAATTAGTGAAAGATTTTTTCAAAAGTTGGGCTGTTGATATGACTAGTGTCTGTTACAGGACCCAGATTTTTTTTTTTTAATTCTTTGAAGTTTTGTTTTCTCTGGATATCATAGCCAATTTTTTTTTACATTCAGATGGGATTTTTAACTTGATTCCTCCCCCCTCCCCCTTTTCATTTAACAAACATCAAGTGTACCAGTTACTATTCTAAACTCTGGGATAAAGATAAACAAGAGACTTCCCATTTTGGAATTTACATGTAAATGGGGGGAGCCAAATCAACGAAGTAGCATTAAGAGTCATAAAAGACACGAAACTGGTGTATTGGGGGTGGTGAAGGAGGATCTATGTTGGGTAGATGAATTAGAGGAAAGCTCTTTGCAGAGGGTTTGACATGAAACCCAAAACCTAAATGGTGATAAAGAGCCAGTTAGATTTGGGAGAACATCCCTGACTGGGAGAAAAACCAGTGGGAAGACCCTAAGGCAATTAAACTTAAAATGTTCAAGATACTGAAGAGGCGAGTGGGTTGTGAACAGTTGAGGAAAGTAGAACAAGGCGAGATTTATGGAGGTTGGAAACACATCAAGTAGGATGTAGACTAGAAGTTTGGTTTTTATTCCAAGCAAAATAACAGCTAACATTCACTGGGCACTTAACTATATGATTTGGAATTTGAACACAGATGGTCTGGCTGAAGAGCCCGTGTTCAAGGCAATATGCTACACTGACTCTCAGTGAGAACTTTGTACTTGTTTTACATGTTTTCAATTTTGAAAAACAATCCATGCCCTAAGAATCAGAATGGGAAGAGCTTGGATTTCAGATGCAGAAGAAACGTACTCTGACACACTTCTCTTGCAGACTTCTCTCTAGGGAAGGAAATCCTGAGGGTAATCCCTGGGAGCCCTCTGACACCAGCGTGTCACCTAGGTAATGTCCAGTTAATAATGAGCCACTTTAGTCAAGGAAATTGAGAAATAAGGTCTCAACGTGAGTCACAGCTGGTAAATAGAAGGGTTGCCAAGGAGGAGATCAAAAAGGGGCAGGAAGTCTCTTGAGACTGTTCCCATGAGGGAGGAGCAATTAATTTTTTTTTCAAGGTTGTTTATTTTTAATTAGCTGCTCCTTCCCACAGCAGCAGAGGGGTCCCTCAGAGCCTGAGGTCAGGTATGTAGCCCTGTTTACCCAGGAGAAAATTTCTTTGCTTTTATAGATTGTATCTTCTCAGAATTCCATATGTAACATGAGGTAGTCCTGTCCAGGTAAGAGTAAAATCTCACTTGAAATCATGCACCTGCCTTAAGATTCAGGATCATTCTGGAGTCAGTTTGGAATATTAGGGAAAAAATGGTGCAGGGGTGGGTAAAGTATTGTGCAAATCGTAAAAAAAAAGGTTCATCCATACCTTCGATGAGGATGTGAGAGAAAAGCTAATTAACCAGACCAGAATTGGGTGATAAATAGGGTACCATATATTATGATGTGCTATGTTGTGATACTGGTTCTGGCTTTTAATCTCCAGCCCAATTACTCAGGATGTTTAAAAAAAAAAAAAAGAAAGAAAGCCAAAACAATGAATTTGAATTGTTCAGGTGTTCCATTCCTAACTCTTTTTTAAAATTATTTATTTATGATAGTCTCAGAGAGAGAGAGAGAGAGAGAGAGAGAGAGAGAGAGAGAGAGAGGCAGAGACACAGGCAGAGGGAGAAGCAGGCTCCATGCACCGGGAGCCTGACGTGGGATTTGATCCCGGGTCTCCAGGGTCGCGCCCTGGGCCAAATGCAGGCGCCAAACCACTGCGCCACCCAGGGATCCCCCCATTCCTAACTCTTAATGCCATTTGTTGGACAGGCTGCTGAAGATAAGGAAAGAGTAAAGTCTTCTGTCTTAAAATTTCCCTTCTTGGTGGCACCTTGGTTTAAAAAAGTGCCAGAGTAGGGTGACATTGATGGAAGATATTTTGGGCATATTTAAAAATTAACAGTGTTTTCTTTACCCAATGCTTCTAGATAAGGGAGACCAGAAATGAAGTAGGATTTAGCTGCCCAAAGTTCAGATGTGTTGAAACAGTAAAACTCCCAAGCAAGGCTTGCTTTATGTATGAACAAAGGGAAGTAGTATTTTACAATCTTGCCTTAATCATCCCCTGGGGGTAAACTCTGTGTTGTCTATCCAACAACCTCCCCACTCTCACTTTCCTCCTCACTGGCAGGGCTGGAACATCCTTTCTTAGCCTCTCTTGCAGTTTTTGAAAAAAACTGCCCTTCTAAACAATTTCTTCCATCAAATACGTTCAAATCCGTTCACTTCTCACTATCTCCATGGCTGCCACTCTAGTCAAGCCATCTCTCCATCAAATGTGTAACTTTTTAGGAACACACACACACCATCAATTGCACTGTTGAGTACCAAGAGTGCTATAGATCTTAGGTCCTAAGATAATAAAAAAGGTACCTTTGTACAGGGACCACAGCCTCAAATTTATGTTAACGTAAGTGTCCTTATTAGTAGTCTTGAGAGCTGTAAAGGAAAATAGGACTTTAAGATCACAAGTTTCGTTTGACATAATGAACAATAAATATCAATTTTGCACAGAGCTTAAAGGGATTTGTAAACTGCTAACTACAGTTAAAGTGGCCACCAAGGGAATGTGGTAGACTAGGAACACGAAGCGCATCTAAAGCCACAATACAGCTTTAGCCAACTTTGCCATGCGGGAATGTGGATTGGGTATTCCCAAATCTTTCTGTATTAAGGAAAAACCTGGACATTTGTAGATCTGAAATGTGATCCTTGGAATTTTCTGTGAAATCTTCTTTTTTTAAAATGTTGACGGGGTGCCTGGTTGGTGCAGTCAGGTAAGCATCTGCCTCCTGGTCTCAGCTCAGGTCCTGATCTCAGGGTCGTGAGATCCAGCCCTACATTGGGTTCTGCACTTAGCATGGGGTCTGCTTGAAATTCTCTCTCCC